ATCAGTGACACAGTATTAGGTACCAGGACTGACACACAGCTACTAGTGTCACTTCAATATACACAATACTATGTCTCTGCAGTAGTCATGTTACTTATCTTCCACTGACAAGACAATGTTCACTTCAACGTTATTTTCTTTCATAATCAAACTAGCAAGTGCACAAGGGTGTCGAAGGGAGAAGTTTAAATTATCTTATTGTCTCCATTTTACTGATTACGTTTCTGCAGGGGCCCGATCATACGTACTCTTAAAGCTGCGTAGTGTTTGCAGCATCTCTTCATCAAGTGTCTTAACAATCAGCCTAAAAGACTGAATATTACATAGCGTCCCTGTGACTGACCTAAGTCTTTAAGAGGCACCTAAGTTCCCCCGTCTTCTAACATCATGTTAATTTATGCACTATAATCCACCTTGTCCGTAATTATCGTATTTGCTTTGTTACGTAAGGTGGAGTCCAGGATCTTCCTTAATTCATGGTATAACTTAACAATCTTTGCTTAGACCTCTGTAACAATTGTCCTCAAAGATCTGTTAAGTTATACCATGAATTACGGAAAGATCCTGAACTTCACCTAACGTAAGAAAGTAGATGCGATAGTAATTATGGATAAGGTGGAAAAAATGAACATTTTAGAAGACTGGGGAACTTACGTGCCTCGTAACTACCCTCACCCCTGGGTCAGTCTGTTTCCTGAGTACTTTGTATGTTGTTATCATATTTCCCCTGACCATACTCTTTCTTTAATTCTCTTTCCTGGTAGTCCATCCTCACTTACAGCACCAGTCTTGTTGGGAACGTTTGGATCTTGTTTAGTTTCTTAAATTTAAGTACCTAGTCTTGCAAATGCTGCTGAATTTATATAGTTTATATGCACCTGTGGTGATATGCTTCGTACAGTGCTTACTCCCAGATCTTATTTCTTTTATGTACAGCCTTTCTCCTGCCAGGTTGTACTTCATGACTAGTCTTTTTACTGCTTCCATTTTAATTACCTTCAGCTTATCTTCTCTAGTCAAACTGGTCTATAGTACAGTGATGTCTGTGTTTCTTCTCCTACAATGTTAGCATCACATGTGACAGTGATGTCTGTGTTTCTTCTCCTACAATGTTAGCATCACATGTGACAGTGATGTCTGTGTTTCTTCTCCTACAATGTTAGCATCACATGTGACAGTGATGCCTGTGTTTCTTCTCCTACAATGTTAGCATCACATGTGATAGTGATGTCTGTGTTTCTTCTCCAACAATTTTAGCATCACATGTGACAGTGATGTCTGTGTTTCTTCTCCTACAATGTTAGCATCACATGTGACAGTGATGCCTGTGTTTCTTCTCCTACAATGTTAGCATCACATGTGACAGTGATGTTCCAGGTGTGTGGCTATGTCTTCCATAACATATGGTACATCTTTATTAAGGGTTAATACTGTTCTTCTCTTCTTTCTTATTATGTCAGATGACAGTCTTGTCTCGTGTTGTTGTGTCTACATTAAGCTCTCTGTCTCTCTCTCTTCTTACTTCTCATTGACACATAATTCTTGTTTTTTTCCTGGCTATTATTCCCTTCACTCTACTGTCTCTCTTGGCTCTGGTAAATCCTTCCTTTATCCTTATATTTAACACTTCCAATATTGTGCCTCATTCTTTATCATCTTTCTCTTTTGATTCTTATTACTTAGTCTCTCAGTGTCTGTCTTGTGTTGTTATACACTAACTTAGTCTCTCAGTGTCTGTCTTGTGTTGTTATACACTAACTTAGTCTCTCGGTGTCTGTCTTGTGTTGTCATACACTAACTTAGTCTCTCGGTGTCTGTCTTGTGTTGTTATACACTAACTTAGTCTCTCGGTGTCTGTCTTGTGTTGTTATACACTAACTTAGTCTCTCGGTGTCTGTCTTGTGTTGTCATACACTAACTTAGTCTCTCAGTGTCTGTCTTGTGTTGTTATACACTAACTTAGTCTCTCGGTGTCTGTCTTGTGTTGTCATACACTAACTTAGTCTCTTATTGTCTGTCTTGTGTTGTCATACACTAACTTAGTCTCTCGGTGTCTGTCTTGTGTTGTCATACACTAACTTA